TGCAAGGAAAGAATTCAACATATAGGAAATTGAAATTTGATATTAAAAAAAAAACCCGAAATGGAAATTAATGACATTTTCTTACATCAATATTGAGATAAATTCCATGGGGATAATTAAAGGTGTAACACGTGATCATAAAGTTCATGTTGACAGAGAAAAATATGGAGAAAAATAAGGTTGTACCGAGAGAGAAACTGGAATCGATGAAGGAGTGAGTTGAGCAAAACAAGAATGTCGGTACATGCACAGGATCTTTACAACGAGTCGCATGTTTTTTGATATCGATGGTATATCTTAAATTGGATCACATAGATCAAATTATAAATCTTATTAAAAGTAATTAGATATAAAGAAAAAAAATTATTATATATAAATCAAGAAGGAATAATTATATAAATATAAACGAGAAATACTCGAGTTGGAATTAATAACATAAACGATAGCCTATGACATTAAAATATTTTTTAAAATTAACTATTTTAAATATTTTAACTAGTTCAACCTACTTTTTAAAATATTTTTTAAACTATTTTGCACATGCAAAGACATTAAATTAACATTTTTAGATTCTTTTTTATACTTCTAATTAATGTGTTAACGTTTAAAATTAAAAAAATGTAAATATATTTTTAATTAAAAAGCATTTTTAAAAAAGCATTTCACACCATATTATTAAACACAAATTTAATCGGATGGTACCTTTTATTTTATATTTTTGATCAAATCAATCTAATAAAGGCAATTCAAGATGCTCCATTCAATTATGTCACAACATATATATATATATATATATATATATATATATATATGGCATTAATTTGTCCTGGATGTTCAGTTTGGACTGCATCTTGGATATTCGTCTTGTCCGAGATCTGACCTGGGATATAAATAATAGAAGAGAATTAACTAAGCATAACTCGATAAAAAAAAACTTAGATTGACTCATGCCATGGTAAAAACCCCATCAAAACTCATTAATTGTTTTTTAGATTTTTTTTTTTTTGGAATCATTGTCTTTTAAACCTTTTTAAATCCCTTCATGTGTACTCGTGATGCAAGCTTTATGTCAGGTAGACTTTTAAGTTGGATTTAAAAACTATGGAATAAAGAGTTTATATTTAAAAATAAAAGAGTTATTCAACTAATTTTTTATTTAAAAAAAAAGTTTGCTTTCATCAAATAATACAAATTAGAGGGATGATGAACAATTAATTTTATTGACTCTTGTGTATAGGACATTTTGCCTAGCACGATATGCCCATTTCGTAGCATGAAGAGCAGAAGCACTACTCCAGACAATCTTGGGTGTCAAAAAAGGTGGCAAATGACAACGTCAAGAGTATCACTAAAGCGCTTGAAAGCATAATCGAAAGAAATCAACATCATCCACTAGATTTTGTTTAGGACAAGATATAAACAATTTCAAGCTTGTCTGCTAAGGGTCATAGCATTTTCAGTGTTTGAAAGGTTTCCCCACGATTAAAGAAGAAGAGGAAGAACGCCGGTGGCTCTTTTGGATCCAGCTAATGAATCCACCACCACCATTGGTCAAGATCCGCCAGCACAAACTTTTAGCCGCCATGATTTGAAGATTGGAGTTGAATCAAAACGTGTTTTGTTCCAAGAAACAACATTAATTGCACCTGAGGCAATGTCACCTTTGGAATTTCATGATTACCCGTGGCGCTGTTGTAAAATCTAGCTCCATCGGAGTCTAACTTATTAGAAAAAGGAAAACGACAGGACATTAAGCATGCTACTCACTCTTATGCAGTGTCTAACAAGATGGAGCCCAGCTGCTCACCAAACGAACAGTCAAAGATATTCTTACGTGTTCTATTGGGAATGACAATTGTATCCGCTTGCATTGGAGGAGATAGACACAGGGGACATTTTTATCCATGGATAAGCATGGATTTTAAACCAGGCCAAATCATGGGTTTTCATACAGTTACTAGGTTTTGATCAGGATTTTTTTTAAAAAAAAAAAATTATTAAAATATAAATAATTAATAGATTGTAAAAGAATTTACTAATTTACTTAAAATTTTATCTTTCTCTAGTTTTTTAAAATCTTGCTCAGGAGCCGAAGAAGGTTTTAAAACTATGCTTATCCACCTTATCCACCACACATAGTTATCAAAATTGGTTTGGTTTTATCTAATTTAAAATTTAAGTTACAAAATTATCAAACTAATCTTAAAACTCAATTGTTTTACATCTAATTAATTATATATTATCTTGTCAAAATAAACATCATGGAGTGTTGAAATTTTTCCGAGACATTGTAAAAACCCATATATGAAAGAAATTACAAAGTCAATTCTCAAATAAAATCAATATAAATAAATCAAATTAAAAAAAGGTTGAGTTATTAGATTAAAAAAAACATATACTCTTTGACTTTACAAATTGGTCTCTAATATTGGCAAAAAAAAAAAATTAAATATTTTTTTAAATCTCAAATTTGATCTTGATCCTCTAAATTTTATTTCTTTTAAATCAATAAAATTAAATTTTATTTTATAAAATCAAATATCAACCAAGCAACATAACATTTCTCCAACATCTCATGATCCCAAGCATGAAAAATAAATTTTCAAAATGAAACACAAATGAAAGCAATGTTAAGGAACCAAAAAAGAAGAAAAAAAATTGAAATACCAAAACAAAAAAAAAATCCTAAAGAAGAAGAAGTATTTCACAAAGCACTTTTAGGTTTTTATAAAAAGCATGTTTGTTATTTTTAATAAGAGCTTGTTTGTTATGTAGTGTGCTATTTTTTTAAAATATTTTTTTTATTTTTTGATTATTTTGATAATAAAATAAATTTTAAAAAAACATAAAAAACATATTATTTTAATATATTTATAAGTAAAAAATATTTTAAAAAACAATCAGCATTACAGTAACAAACACTATAGTTAATTATTTTCATACATCCCTTGCGAATCTTAGAATTAATATACATTCCCTTTTAATGAAAAAAAAAACGATAATATCCCAAAGAGTTAGATTAAGATTGTATAAAAATTGATATAAATAAAGATATTTATTTTTTATGTATTCAGATTGTATAGAACATTTAATTACTTGACCAAATAACAGACACATAAAAGTTCATGCAAACATGAAAAAAGCTGGGAAAACACGTCAAGCATTTCAACCATTTCTAATCATCTTAGAAGATATAAAAATGAGATTTTAAGTGATATTAAAAAGATGAATATTTATTTCGTTTTTTCAAATGATACAAAAAATATCGAGCATACCAAACTAGGACGATATCAACTATGGCTTCCAATGATGATAATCTCATAATCATAAAGTATATATAATGAAACTCAAATTCATACATCACAAGGCACTTCTCAAAATGACACCACTGCATATTGTTGTTACAATACCTACTGTTTTTTATTATCTAGGTCAAAGTCTAATCAATATCCACACAATCCATGCATCTTCTATAACCTAATGGCATCTGCATCACTGAACATTACCCTCCTTGGAAACAAGAAGTTAAGGGATTGATGTTTGTTGAAAATTGAACATACTAGGAGTCAGTTGCACAAAATCTTCTCAAGATCGACAAATCTCTTCCGACCGAGTTTCATTAACGTTTATCATGGGATCAACAATAAGATCTGTACAAGATGTAAAAAGGGAAACAATTTTCATTTTGTGAAATAAAAACATGGAGAGAAATAGATAAAACATCATTCATTCAACTAATATAGGACATCCTAGGATAGCAAGCAGTTTGGGCATCATCTTACCAGTGAATGAGGGGGAGTGCATTCAAAGTAGAATTAGGGTTCAGGGAGAGCTGATTCATGATTATATTGCGAATGAAAAATTTAGCATCCAAGATATGGCGAATGTTAATAATGGCAGCCTTGATAAAAGAACAAACAAAAACAAGGGAGTGGCTAGTATGAACACCTGTGTTTCAGCCATGAGACCAAACCAAAAGAATCTATGCAAGCCCCAAAGAAAGTGAATTTCCAAAACAATCAATGGCTAAAACATTGGTACACAGGCGAGCCATTCCCTAAAAACAAACACACTGCACAAGGTCATGCCCAAAAAGAACCTTGCATTACTAAAAGTTGAAGTTTGATAATTGATAGAAAATATAAACTCATTGACGTACTCACACAAAAAGCAATAACCAAACCAATTAAAGAGGCAAGCATTAAAAAAATGTTCCAAGCATGTAATTTTAAATGTCTTGAGTGATTGCCTTGTAAAGGCCATTCCAATGATCATCTCATGATCTGAAAGTTTAGTGAAGCTCAAATTTATATATCACTGAGTTTAAACCTCAGGAGAAACTTCCTGACATGAGGCTCTGATAGGCAGTGAATTTTAAACTAAAAAAAAAAAAGCTTGAAATTCAGCATACTCTTAATTTGTAGGATTTTAAAATTATGACCTCCCACCCAAAAAAATAAAATAAAATAATAATAATAATAATAATAATATAGATGAAAATCAAATCAAATAGTAGACCAATCCCTACCCAGAACAAAAATGAAAAAAAATCCCCCAAAGTCTCAATTGTGATCATTAGCTCTGGCACATGCTCCAGCCTCTGGGAGCTGCTGTAAAAGATCTTGTTATAGCCTAGATATGCATATAGAGTGCAAATTATCTAGTAGTACCTTGGCGAACCAAAGCAATGCTCCAAACAGTACACACAAATGTGATTCTAAAAAGCAAAAAAGAAAAAAAAAGAACTGGAAATTAAAATGTCATAAACCACATCTAAGAATACATGCCAATACATGATCATCTGCTTACTTCTAAAAAAGGTTCAGGAAAACATAACAGCAGAAGTTCATTATCATAAGATGCAGAATGCAAGCAACAAATCCACTCTCAACACACTAAGATAAAACAATAAGCTCACAGGTTCTTGCCACATGAAGCACAATGCCTACAACAAATTCCATTGTTCACACAACTATGCATGCGGTATGCAACAGACAAAATAAACAAAAATGAAAATGAAATTCATTTAACTTTCAATGGAATATCTAGAGGCCATATGATGTCCATTCTACAAAAATCCCAATCATAGCTATCAGATTGTCAATGAACAAGGTTAGGAAAGTCATGAGTTGCAAGCATGTGCTACAAAACGTTTTGCATTTATACAAGTCAAGATCTCAGGATACTAACAAAGAAGTTTGTGCCATTATACACAGTTACAGAAATGTCACATGTAATGATACCATCACTGATCTGGAAGCATTTTAGTGAGAGGAGGGTTCTGCATGTCTTCTTACAAACAGCTTCCCAATATCTTCTGTCACAACATTACTCCTGGAAAAAACACAATTCAAATCATCAACGCAATTTTATTTTCCTTTTCTTGGGCTTATGATATTATCATAATTGGTGTCTATAAAGTAAAGACAATTGTCAATGAATAACAAAGCACTAAGCAAGCCCTATCAGTTGCAAAAAGACAAGATAAAGCTCAAGAAGCCTCAAAATCAGGTTTACAAGGAAAGTTAATAGCCTAAAATTTTCTAAAGGAAATTGATGAATCAAGTATATCTACACCTCTAGATGCAGCTTTTTGCATGCAAATACATGCATGAGACATGGTCGCATTACTATACAAAACCAAATTGCAAAGGATATGTATAATGCAGCTTTTTGTGTGCACTTGCATGCATGAGACATGGTCGCGTTACTATACAAAACCAAATTGCAAAGGATATGTATAATGCAGCTTTTTGCGTGCACTTGCATGCATGAGACATGGTCACATTGCCATACAAAACCAAATTGCAAATGAATGTATACAAAATGCTAACATCTGAATTCCCAGTCTTTTTCAAGGACAAGGAAAAATCACACAGAATCATATTTGTCTATGCACTAAGTAGTAACCTCAAATGTCATACCTCCATCAAAAAAAAAAAAATTAAGTCAAACAGCCAACGGTCCAGTAGTTTCAATTCCAGGACAGAGCAAGTCCATAATATGGGTAGCACACATTAATGGCACATTACTCCCTACATCAAAGGTCATATACGAGGCTGCTGTTCCCTAATCTTACAGCCAAATACTCAAGTGAGTTGGGAACCCTATATCAATCAGCTGCTCTTGCAAATGCTGCCTTCTAGAGAACTATTAGGTTCTACCTCAAGTTCAAATATAGTAAAACAACCAACCACATTGGTCAAACTCATAACTCTAGCTCAACTTCCACATGCTACATCTTTCCACAGCTTAAATTTCACCCAACAACCTTAATCCCACCTCCATAAAAAACCTTAAAACCTTAAAATGTCTCCAACTAACAATGATTCATACTCTAGTTCAACAACCCAATCATTAAAACACGAAGCAAAACCAATTATTTTAAGTTCCACTATTAACTAACAGAAAGCAGCGAAAGGGCAAATCTTATATAAGATTTATACCAGAGAGTCCATAAAAATAACTAAAAATCTCACCTTCCTTTAAGCTGAGGAGGAACTAACAAACCCCCACCGGTATCTGGAACATTCTTGTTAGCAGCCAAATTCCCTCTTGCCACTTTCCCACTCCGCGAAGACCCCACATTTAATTCTCTCTTTCGCGACGCATTCTCTGCCATTGCTGCTGATACTCGCAACGCATGATCACTTCCACTTCCATCTAACCCAACTGTTGGCGTATTCAATAGCATTGAAGCATCTGGAAGCTTCGATACAGAAGGAAGAAGACTTGGCCCTGCTACTTGTGGCCTCGACAATGACAACCCAGATGACCTGAAACAAAAATACAGGTAAGACTTTAAATCACGAAGTGAAAAACCCATGATTCAAAATCTCTTCTTTTGTCTGAAATTTAAAGACTTACAGTTTGTTTTCTGGCTTTGCAACTTGTGGTTCGTTTTGAGGTTTTGGTTCTTGTTCTTCTTGATCCTTTTGTTTTTCTTCTTCTTCTATGTTGTCTGTAGCATCCTCGTCCGAGGAAGAAGCGTAGTCAACCAAAGACATCTTTTGATTCTCTCTCGGTTTCTGTCTATCTCTCCTTGATCTTAGAAACTGCTGTTTGGATCTCCTTTTCTTGTTTATGCTCATCAAGCCTCGGCCAGTGGGTGAAGAAAACAGGCCTAAAGCTAATGACCCTGCATGCCTAATATCAGTGGGCTTTCAATCATCGAATGGATCTTTGGACCCATATCGATAAATTCAGCTAAAACCCTAACAAGCCCTAGCAATTCCTAATAGATTAAAACTCTCTTTTATCTTTTTTCTTCGATGAGTGTCAAAATTCCTTCTTAGATCGCTAAATAGTCAATACTAGTAAGGATCTTTCCCATGGAAAATAAGTGTTACATGGATATTAATTTCCATTCAAAAAAACTTATATTACATGGAGATGATCTAATTTAAAAAAAAAACTATGATCTAATTTTATTTTTTCTAATTTTAAATTTACTTGAATTACATAAAAAACTAAGTCAACCCGTTTAATTTATTTTTAAATTTGTTAAAATCAGGTAATTTAATTTTAATTGATTAAATATATTTTGAGAAGCTTCGGTTTAATGGGTTTTTAATTCCTATATATATATATATATATTCAATTTCTAAAATCTAAAACCAAAACCAATTTGAATCATTTAAAAAAAATTATAAAACAAAAAATTATCTATTTTTTATTCAATTAATTTCAAATTAATTTTTACATATATTTCAAATAATTCATTTTACTCACCCCAAAATACTTGCACATATGTTTTTTAGTTCCCCGAGTATAAAAGCAATTTATGTATGATATAAGTTACTTTTTATTTAAAAATATATTAAAATTATTTTTTTATTTTTTTATTTTTAATATCAAAATATAAAAACTATTTAAAAAAATCAATATAATAATTTTAAATGCATCCAATCAGTATATTATATAAGCCATGTAATTTAGCTAGTTAGATATGATTGACTTGAAAGATTATTTTTTTTTTTTTTTTCATGATGACAGAATGCAAAGATTTCTTAGCCAAACAAGCATCTCAAGTCTTGAGAAATAAAATGCACTTTGTTCATTGTCATCAATGAAGTCAGAATTCAAAAAAACGAGGGAATTGATACAACATTACGTAAGTTAACAGCTCTAATACACAGAACACAACCTTCTCGTCCTAAGAATTTAGCTACTAAGCTTCGGAACTAGCTAGTGGAATCTATACTTGTTACTTTTACATCCACTAAGGAGTGACAAAAAACGCATAAGAGAGGAGGCAGCACAAGCTGTCAAGGTTTCTGTCCAAGGAGTGCTGGTCTGTAGAAAACATGGGTTTGCGCAATCTCGATGCGATCTCTTGGGTCGTTCATTGTTTCATCCCTTAATGCTTGAAGAATGGCCTGCACTGTAAACTCCCTGAATGTTCAAGCACATGAAAAGTATCAGAATTCATAATGAAACACATGGATCCAGACAAATGGTGAGCATCCAAGTACTGCAATTCCAAGTGCAAGTGTGAAGACGAACCGTGTATGATTATAGAACAAAGCCTCACGTACCTTGTTATAAGTATTCTATATAGCATCTTCAATATGGGGCACAGCTCAACTGGAGCTACAGGTTTGTTTTTGTCAGGATGTAGGACGCTTATGGAGGACTGACTTAGCAGCTCGTAAAATGCTTTCACTGCTGAAACACCCTGCAAATCAAAAGGGTGGGCTTAACACGCTGATCTACAAGAAAGTAAGAAATATAAAAGGTGGATCTGGTTCTGCAAGGTTAAAACCAAATAATACACTGCTGAAAGGACAAAATCGACGGCGGACAACATTGCTGATGTTGAGAAATGACTAGCAAAAGCAATAAACATCTCAAGCAAACCAGTTGGTTTTGTACGAGGGCATATTTTTTATGATCACAAGCACTGAAGCCACACAATTATTTTTAGCTCCGAGTAATTGTTTAAAACTGATGATAGTTTTCAAATTCAATTTGTAGAAAAACTGATGATAGTTTTCAGATCAATTTGTAGTGGGTCAACAGTCTCAGAGTAATGGAGGTATCATCACTCAGATATTCTCCCTCCCCTACAAACCACAAATTTGTAAATGCAAGTTAAGAAGCATCCATTATACTCCTCTCATATTATGTATTGGATGACTATATCATGCATAGATTTCAATCAAATTGGCGGTTCTAAATTTGCACCTACTGGAGCATGCTATCCAGTTAATATAAAAAACACAAGGTTCTTTAAAATGGTGATAAAAAATAATTGACCAGTTAAGTTTTCTCAGAAAAACTTCTGTTGCAGACAACTTCTAATATGATGCAAGTCCAATAAGATGCAAGTCCAATAAGCTTGAGAATCTTCATTGACCATGTCTATGAGTAGCAAAGATTACCTGAATCATTCCTTTGCCCTTGATGCTGTCTCCCATTTCAAGATTCAGCTCCCCCTTGGCCAACTTTTGACCATACCATGCATTACGACCTTTCAGTAAGGTTACATAAGTGTCGGCTAACAAGGGGCCAGCAAGTTTTTCTGGTTCTTCGGTCAACAAATGTGTAATAAATATCATCTCTGATGTACAGTGGGCAAAGTACACTGATTTACTAGTTGCACTCTCATTGGTCAGAGCTGCAACCATTCCTATAGAATCAAAATCAAGAGTTAAATTTTCAGATTGAAGACTCAAAATCAAAGAGGAAGTAGGTGCATATAAACAAACTAATGCTTTAAGATAACACAAATGGTGGATCCAAACACTATGCCTAGCTTAATAATTACAATGATAAAACAGTCAAGTTCTTGAGTTAATTTTCTGTGACAAAAACCATTACCACATGAAAAATGTCTAAATTCATTGGTGATTTAGATTCATTTCATATGGAAACTTCAAGATGCATGAAGCAATGTACACCAGAAAGCTGATATAAAAGTACTTTCTGGCATGATAAATTATGTGTCATTGAGAACATACATATCCTTGATGCCAATCATTACTTAATTGTTGAGCATGGAGCTCAAGCATCAACTACTTGAGATATGAATAATATCATCTAATAGTGTTACAATATCGGAATTAAGAGTTAATGAAATTAAGGCTTACCAGCTCCAATTGCATAGACATTTTTTAAACCACCCATAACTTCATGAGTAACGAGATCACCATTATCCCACACTACAAAGTGTGGCTGCCTCAAAAATTTTGCCAACGGTTTCCTCCACTTTTCTGCTCCACAAATCCGAGCATTAGCATATTCCTTATTGTAAATCTCTGACGCGATATTAGGTCCTCCGAGATAGAGAATGTTTTCCATCGGAACTCCAGCTGCAAGGCACAAAGTCAACAATTATGATGTGTGAAAGGTTGGCATTAAATAAAGAACTATCGCATGATTACTAGGGGAAAAAACTAAGAGAAGTAATCTTACTTGCACGGTTGATCATTTGGGTGGGGGTTATTATGCGTGGCTCTGGCTCCAACTCAGCCTCCACACCTTTTGCCAAAGAGATGATAATTGGCATTGTAATCCTCTCCTTCCAATACCTACTAATTTCCTCGAATACTTCACAAGTTTCAGTTGATGGCAATCCATTAATAACAATATCAGCATCCCAAACAGCCTCCTGTAAATTGGTCACAACCTTCAATGGGCAAAGTGGGGTGTCTATCATATTCACGCAAAATCCATCTTTTAAAAGCTCATCTGCATGTAAAATCCTATCACCTAATCTTGCCTCAACATACTTTAAATAAGCACAACGTCTAATTAATCTCCTTAACACATCTTCCCTTGAATTGATAACTTCAAATAAATGCTCAGCCGTGGCCCTGTCAACCGATCTACCAGGCCTCCTCCATATCCTTATCAGAACCTTATCTCTCAGATGACCATAACTCTCTTGCAATAAGGCGGTAAACACACTACCCCAAGCACCTGCCCCAATGCCAACAATCCTCAACGGATCACCTTCTGCTTTGCCTATCAGAGCACGAAGCTCATCAAGCTTCTCTTCCAAAACCCCATTTAAGTTTTGAACCGGCCCATTTGAATTCACAACGTGATTCATTTCTTCTGTATTTTCAACTATTCCCCCCTCTCCTTCAATTACTATAAGCTTCAAGAACTTCAATAAACCAATAAAAGAAAGAATACAACAACTCGTACTTATACCACCACAAAAACCTTTCTTGGTGATATATCCTAAGCTTCAAATGCAAAATTCTAGTCTTTAATTCACTGATTCTGAAGAAACTAAATTTTCAATGGATTTTGAAACAATCTAATTTTAATTGATAAATGGGTTCCATCCCTATTCCCTCAAGCAACTATAAAAGCTCTAACAGCAAATAACCCTAACAACCACAATTTTATAGGTGGGCTTTGTTGGCTAAATCAAGACAATTCTTACTGGCCCCCACTGACCATCTATAACACGCCAGAAGAAGATGCAAAATGGTTTTCGGCACACGAGATTTTTATGGCACAAGCAACATCTATCATGAAAACCGACATGAGATAAAACCAAGAAATGCTAAAAGATCCCAACTTTGAAAACAAAGCCTTGAACTTTGGCTAGCTAATCAAAACCAAACCCAGTCAAACGTGAGCAAAAAGCAGGTAAACTCGAAAGAAGAAGGAAAAGCGAAACAACCTTTGTTTGTCAGCTTCCTCCTACAAATAAAAAAGAAAGAAAGAAAAAACACGGAAACGCCGAATTTGGTCCTCTGTATTCACACAAAGCTCCGTGTGTCTTTGGTTTTTCTTACAAAAAAGGAGAACACGTGGAGGAAGAAACTGACGTAAATTTCGAAGTGGATAGGAAAGAAAGCTGCTTTTTGAGCCAGGATTCTTGGTGAAATTTTGGGGAAAATGTCCCCCTATTTACAAATGTGCTCCTTTCTCAAAAACGGTAGAGACAAAAAGGCAAGGAAAGAGAAGGAAGAAGAAAGAAATTTGGGAAAAAATCGACTTATTACATTTTGAAGCTCAAATTATTGACCAGAGAGACTAGAATTCATTTATACAAGTTTTAGCATTTAAGTAATTTTGAAGCTCAAATTTTTTAGTTAGGATTTGGTGAAAATTCGAGGAAAATGGGATTTTACTCGTAATTGACTAAATTAGGTTGTAGTAGGTTATAATGGATGTAATATGGTGGAAGAATTTTAAATAAATTCAGGTGAAATTGAGAGCTATGTAGTCGACTATGAAACAAATAGAGGATCAGTTTATTTAATGTAATTGTTGTTATTTATATATAATTGATATGTATAATGTAATTATATGTCATGTTAAAAAGAGAAAGAAATTACAGATTAAATGATATGATATGAGGATGATATAGATAGAAGAGGAGTAATATGTAAAAATGAGTAAATTGTGGAGAAATATGGGTGATAACATGGAATTCATGTTGTGAAAATGATTGTAGGAATGAAAATATATGTATTGCGTGTTGGTATTGAATTCAACATGTTGAATAATTAAATAATTATAATCATAATCATAATTATGGTGTTTTCTTGGTTAAATTGGTGTTATTCTTATGTTTAAGATAATTGGCAGAAACTTGAAAGAGAAATAAATTAAATTAGTAGATGAAATAGAGAGATGAAAAATACAAGAGTGAGCATTCTATGTTAAATTGATTTTGTGGTGGCTAAGTTGTTAAATTTGTTCAAATTGAAATAGTTGATGTGTGTTAATAGTAAATATGAAATCATGGAAGTGTGGGAATTTTCATATTAATTGTTAAATAATTGTTTGTGATGTGTTGACAATTGAATTGGAAATTATGATGATATGAAAAGTTTAGTGAGGATTTAAATAAATAACATAAATATTGATTTGTGAGTGTAATGGAAAATTGATGTTTGAAGTGTAAGTGGAGAAAAAAAATAATTATTTGACTTTTTGGATGTATGGTATAGAAATTTCTATAAATAAATTTTGTGAACATTATAATTATTGCTCGGGATTTGTAGGAGAAGCGATCAAAGTAAAACTTCATTTTTCAGGAGTTTGGATAACAAGAGTTAATGTAAAGGAATGAAAAATATACATACAAGTTTTTATAATTATTAGAATTGTAATAATAATTAAATTATATATTGTATTATCATTGTTATTGTTAATGGAAGGTCTGTGTACCTTTGAGTTAAAAATTGATATGTAATTTATAATTAATCATATAAATGATAATATATAATATATTATGAGATGTGATTTGCTATAATAATAAAAAAAATTATAATACTTTTGACTGCAACAATGAAAAACCTTTATATATATTATTTTTTACCGCAGCAACAAAATTTCTATGTAAGAGTTATTATTGATCGCATTAATAGAATCTAATGTATGATTTATTATTAATAAAAACAATAAAAATCATGTGTAATTTGTATTAAACCATTATGGTGAAAATTAATGTTGTGCAAAATATATTTGATAAGAACTTTAAAATAATTGATATGTGAGATAATTGATATGTAAATGGATGTTATTGTGGACTTTGACACCTTATTCAACAAGTTCATTATGTTAAGTAATGAAAAATATGTTAAATGTGGTATGTTTTTATTTTTATATTAATATATATGAAACTAGTTACCATAGTTAAGGAGACTAGTGTCCTGTTTAATGACTATTGAAGAAACTGTCTTGATCAATGAGACTAATGTCTTAGTTAATGGACAATCGAAGAAACTAGTTACCATAATTAATAGAACTAGTGTCTTGGTATATAAGCAATTTAAAAAATCACTTAATTTAGTAACAGAACAAATGCCTAGTTTGGATTAGAGAGGGCATTGCCATGTGTTTAAATTATGATAATTGTATTAATTTATAAGGTTAAATGTAAAATAAAAAATTATTTATTTAGTAATTGATGTGGTGAATATATGAAGAAGATATAATAGCAAATAATAATTGTGTATAAAGCCGATTGTATTTGATATTAAATAAATTTCTAGATATCTTGCAGCATCGTGTTGTGTGGTATATCATGTATTTGGTATTAACAATAATATGTAATGGAGTAAGGTGTAGATGAGTTTATATGTATTGATAGGTTAATAAATGAGTATTTAATTAGCTATACCGATAAAGTTTAGGAGAAAATAAAGATGATTTGAGCATGTCTTACATGTATAAACGTAATGGAAGGTTATTTGATAAATTATAAATGGATATAAAATAAAAGAAATGAATAATGATTTGAGAAAATTTCTTAATATAATAAGGTTGTTATACGAACTGAAGTACAATTTAATATATATAAAATAAATATTAAGGAAATAAAAAGTTGACATTAATTAAATAGCTATGTGAATTAAACATGTTTAAGTAATGAGTTACAATGTTTATTAAAGGTAGTTAAAATAGGAAAAAATCATATAATTTATAAGTGTTTAGAGAATGGATTATGAGGTAAATTTTATGAGTTGTGAAATAATAATATTAATATAAATTGAATATATTCTTGAATTTAAAATAGTTATGAAATAACTTTTATGTTAAAAAGGATAGTGTATCAAAATATTCCATGGAAATTAGACCATTTTAAAATTGTAAGGAACAAAATTGTTAGGAACAAATCAAGTGACAAGTTAAACTAGATTACAAATAAAATATTTACTATGATGCAAGAATGATAATGTAATAAATAAAATGATGGGAAAAAGGAGAAATAATGAAAAATGTAAGGTGTTGAAAATTAATATAAAATTAACTCTATTAAAAAAATTTATGAAATTAATTTTGATAATATAATTGTTAAAAATTAGTTACTAGAATAATTCAAACAATTAGTATAATTTAATTTTTAATTTTATATATGTCACATTTAAGCTTTTTGAAGGACATCTATTTTATGAAATTATTGAGTTATCGAGTAATATATTAAAAGAATATTTATATTTTTTTATAAAAAATTTATAAATAATCAATATGAATGAAATTTTTAATAAGAAATATAATAAACTGTGTATATTTATAAAATTATTAAAATGTTTATGGGACTTTTCATCTTTATATATCTATATATAATTTACCTAAATTTTTATGTACAAGATAATAAAAAAAGAAGAAGGTGTAATTGTATTGAAAAGACACGGGATGTTACACCATGACGTGAGACACACCAACCATGAAGGCTATGATTGTGTTTCCGTTAATGTTTTATAATAAAAAGATAATATAAAATACATATAAATATATTTTATATAAAAGATATAAAAATAATTTTTTTTTAAATATATGAAAATAATTCTTTTAAGCGTTTAATGGGCTTGTCCTCCAGATGAAAAGAAAGCTAGATGGGTCTCAATTTAAAAATTACAACTGAAAAAAACCAGGACAAAATCTCAATCGATGGCCCAGTCCAAGGTAACCCAAGACAGTAACTGGGCTACACCGACCACCTTTGTCAAACTTATATTCTAGTTAGCTGTGATGAACCGTGACTGTGTGGACAAAGTTGGTTTTGTGAAATGAAAGATGGGTTGCAGAGAAAGAGACCAATGGAATTGCATTTAGCTTAACATCTGATCACAGGTAGTACCGTAGTACCTTCTCCATGTTAGTTCTTGTTTTTTTTTTCTTCTGGGTTTTTTATTTTTAAAGTGATCATGTTGTGCTGCTTTTTGAGCAAGAATTGATGTAATGTAGGATAGGACAATGCGGGGAAACAAATATGTTGAAGGTTGTTGTTTTGAGTTTATTTTCTTCGGGCATTATGTCTTTTCCCATGCTATATGCATTTAAAAGAGCTTCCAGGGGTTTGTTTTTCTGGAGATTGAGTTTTTTTTTTTTTTTTTGCGAATATGAGCTATTATATGGGTGTTGTAGTCTGTTTAGGAGGGTGTTGTTGGTTGTTCTTGTGCTGTTCTTGTTAAATTTCTTAGCAGATGCCAATCCTTGTTATCTTGATAAAAATTGTCTTTGCTACTAAGTTTTTTAAGAGTTAGGACTATATTTCGATTCGGCTGTCCCGTATGTTGAACGGTCCTCTGTATTTCTTGGATGATATTGGTCAACTAAAATTGATTTACCTTTCATTACGTATCGCACTTCAAATTGTCAAATGGCTTAGTGGGGAACATTAGAGAGCTCTTATTAAGTGTCAATGGAATTTGGGTTTCAGATTCTCAAAGCAGATCATTCTATTATAAGAGGAAGAGGAAGAATCTTGTTTTTTCAATGATTAATTGGGATTTGCTAGTTAAGTTGAGTATTGGTTAACAGAAACAATGAAGGGATACAAGAAGCAGAATGCTAGGGTTTATTGGCTTAACTTCAACGGTAATTAGAACATCTTTAATGCTTTGTAAGTGGTTGGCACTGGTTTTTTTTTTAGCAAAGCTGTAGTGTGAGTCCTGGTGTCACAAGAGGCTGGGGCATTGTGATTGCATTGTGGAACTTTATTTTTAATGAAACGAATCACCCCGTCCTCCTTGCTTTTAGCTTGATTCTACTCGACCACCAAAGTTTTTCATTCTTTGAAATTGGACAAATTAGGTCATGTCTTGTCCATGGCTGATATCTACGAGAGAGCTTATTTTCCATTTGTTCAGGTCTGGTTGTACCACAGATATGTTCTAGGTTGGGTTTTTTAATCTTTCTCTGATAAGCTGGCTTGACATTTGAAGTTGATTGGTCAAGTTTTCCAAAAATGCAACTGGGACAAGGTGAGCTCTCCACATTTGCTTGATCCTGCCATATCAGGGCCCAGTTAGAGAACATTTGTGTTTGGTTCTGGAATTATACCAATGACACTTTGGAAGATGGTTTTCCCTTGCATTGGAAACTTCATCAATTACAAGACTTTTTTCAGGCATTTAAAATAGTTAGCTTTCCTAATATGAAAACAGTGTTTCTTAGTGTAAAAGAACTTGTAGAACTAAAATGAGAGGCATTCTCTTCTTCTGAAGTTGTATAGTGATGATCTACATAAACCCAAATTTATGTTGGATTTACAGGGAAAACATTGGTTTAAGTCTTAACCTGTATTAGACTGAAGCATCCAGTATTGCCTAATTTATTTTGCACCTTAAAGATATAAACCTTACCAATTCTTGCGACATGCATTTGTCTAAAGTCACACTTGTCAACATTTATATTCTTTACACTGATATGGAACTTGTTTTCTACTTGGTTTATCACAAGGCACTTAAATCAATGTATTAAGTAATATTCTTCACTCTCTCCCTACAGTAAAGATCTCAACAGATTAGGCTTTTTGGTTTTATCATTTTTGAATTTCTGTTCCTTTTTTAATAACATAAAAATCTCTCGCCTTAAAAAAAAGACCAAAAAGATCTTTTACCAATTATTATTTTTAGATGTATTTCTTTAGTGCCACTTAATTAGTATAAAGAAGGGGAAATAAAACATCAATGTTTTTTGACTTAATGGAAATATATTGCTCCTTTTTAAAAGAAAATTCAGAATATCTCAGCATATTTTATCGTTAGCATAGAAACATGTAAATGTGGAATGATTCAACTCTTACCCCTAAGGAATAGAACTCAACAATGAATATTCTTGAAAGCAGTTTGTGTTCGAGCTGAGATGAGCAGTGGTGGCCTAAGTTTGGCTTATGCTTGTTGATTCTATGTCACATCACATAATTTTGTCATTTTATGCTATTGTTGTTCTGTGGCTTAGCCGTTTAATCTGCACATTGAGATGTGTTATACTTGGTGTTTCCTTGATGAAGTCTATATGTTAAAATGATGCTAGCTTACAGATGTTGTTTCATATGCTTGTATGAAGTGCATACCTTGGTAACATTTTCAGCATTTTAATAGCTATATCAGATGACTATCTTTTTCATTCCTCTATCCCATTCATTTCATATGCTTATTCTTATAGATCTTCACTTTCAAATTCTCAGTAGCCTTGCTAAGGTTTCAAATTTTAGTTCTGTGGATTGAATTGCTGAAAACCTGTTTAAGTTCTAATTTCTATGTATTTCCCTCCGCAATTGACAATTTTACTGCTGTTTTACATTTTCATATTCTATTGTTGAGGAGCTGTTGAACTGTAGCTCCTGTAGATACTATTTATTTAAGGGAATGCACATGTTTTACTTGTGCCATTTTTCTTATTCCAGGATAAGCAAAAACAGAACTTGTCCTTCTGCAGTTGATGGACACATGTTGATGTTTTTATCGCCACCAAAACTTTTCTGTGGACTTGGAAGGTCATAAGAAAATTTTGCAGTAACTGCTACTTTGGATAGGTGCTCTGTCAAAATTTGGCTGTAACTGCTACTTTGGATAGGTGCTCTGTCAAAGTGATTTGAAATTGAATAAAACCTCTTAAAATCCAGGTACAGCTCTAAATACATGCTTTATGAAATAAAAAAATTCAAGAAATGATGTTGAATGATATGCTTCTAATTAGTAGTAGATTGTTAGGGGCCACCATCTTAGATGGAACATGGAAGAACACATACAGTATTCCAAACTTTAGATTTTATTGTAACATGAAGAAAAGAACTTGGAAACATGACACGCTGTGTGTATTTTTTTTTTGAAGAAAAATACTAGTACTCAGCAGTGCCCAAGTGTTGTATTTTCATGGTGAAAGATTATCCTTTTTGTAATTTTCTATGAATCTTTTTTCACTGTTCCAATAGAATCCATAAAAAAACTCGGTGCACTTGCTACAATATTTGTGATTATAGGTGCTTAATTAGCATTTCAACGTTAACAAGATGAGTACATCCGAAGGAATTGGTCATTTAGAATTAATTTTGTTTCTCAGCAGGAAAAGGTTTTCTGTGCAATTTGCAACAAAAACTTACTGGAATAACCAATAAAACAGGAACTTAGATGTATAGTTAGTAGTACTGTACCATAATGTCATTATTGGATTTGGGACCAAACACAGCCCTAAATTTAGAAAATAAAAAACAAAAGCTCAGCACAGTGACTATACATATTCCATTGACCACTGGCTAATGTTATCTCTTTCACTGGGCAGTCTTTACTACTTGATTTCAGTTCTTGAGTTCAGAGCGAAGTTGCACAACTTGTTTGTTTTTTGTTTTCTGGATTGTTATTATGAATAACTATTGCATGGTAATGGGCACCATGTAGGTCAAGTTTTCACTAATGAAATGCTTGATTTGAAGTTGCAATGTCTCCTAGCAGAGAAACTGTATTCTATCTATGGTATGTCTTAGCATTTTATTGTTGACAATTTGTAATTTTCTTATAGAATCTTATATCTGTAACTTCTATTTAAGTGGTAATGTAAATTGCTTGCAGCATGAAAGATTTAAATAGTTTATTTGATATGTCAACTCCCATCACATGCATGCTGTATTAAAGGTTGGCTCCTTATAGTGCAAATATTCTATATTAAAGGTCTTTACTGTTCAATGGAACATTAGAGATTCACTTTATTCTGTAGCTACTGTAATTTTGCTAGTGTCATAGGTTGGTTGAGTGCTTTTGAAAAACAAAAGCAGGCATTTTGGACCTATAAAATTATGGAGATGTCCATGTCTGCCTCGTAACTTTTTGCTTGAATATGCAAGTACAGTGATTACGCAGAGAATGAACTGCATGAACCATTGAGAGTTATTTCCTAATAGTCTGACATGTCGATGTGTTAGAATCTGTAAACAGTATGTTGCTCCCTTTTGAGTTTGCTTTTCTCATTAGATCTTTTCTCTGTGGCTGACGTTGGTTGAATATAAAATGAAAATGGGAAAGATTCATCACACTAACATTCATTGAGAAAGCAAGGATTAGAGAATCATGGCAAATGATTTGTAGGACCATTAAAGTACAAACCTCGCTCAGTTTTAGGGAACTAAAGGACAAGTATATTAGGTTTCAATCCCACATCCATGACAAGATATGTATTGAGGATCCTTTACCTGCGTGTATGAGACATGTCTATTGGACAACACTAACAGTAAACTCTTAGCATTTTCTGATGTTATTTATGAAAATTGTTTTCCTTTTGTTTTCCAAATTGTCATTACGGTTCACTATAGATCAACCTTGTATAATGCACTCATCTGAAAACGAATAATTTTTTTGTGCTTGGCTGCCAATGAGTCAAGTTTATGGCTGAATAGTGGCTGAATAATCATGTGGAGGATCCTGTTTAATGATATTTATTTGTGATTGTTCTCTCCAGAATGATCCCAAAAAAGAAACTTGACTTCAGGCTTTTCTGCCTTTTCCTCTCGCTATACACCCTGCTTGGATCTTGAGCCCCTGGATTGCAGTATTGCCCCTTAGATGGCAATGGCTGTAGAACAGTTTCACACTGCTATTTGACATTCTGTCCTTGGTGTAGACTGAATGCTGCAAAAGTGGGTTGATACGTCTGAGGTATGTCCATGATAGACCACTATACTATCTACTGTTTACAGTCCTTTTACTCTCTCATTGGTTCTCTTTGCTTTAAACATTTGGAGCAATGGGACCTGGCTCTTCTTTTGTCATACATCAGCTAACTCTTCTTGCAAGAAAAGATATCACTGTTGTCTTTAGAATTAGATTCACTGTAGGAATAACCGACACTTAATTGCAAAATGATTACTATGTACATTTTGTCTACGGCTACTGTTTTCAGTGCCTTTTACTATAAATAATAGTTCATATTGGAAATGTTTGGCTTGTTTGATGGGAAAAAAATTCAACTAGCCCCTGCACCCTTCTAGTTACACTTGCTGTATATGAGAAGACAGGAGACCATGATAGTTATCTATTTACTTGGGTTAAGGCATCCCCCTCACATGCTACAAGGGTTTTTTTTTTCTTTTAAGATAAGTATATGGCTAGTGTCATGAGAAAGATATTCCCTTTTGAAATATTCTCTGGCCAGGAGCAAGTATTGCCAGGGGGTCGTAAGTAGATTTTCTCTGGGCAAAAACTTCCCATCGTGGGCCAAAGTGGGCTCTCCATTCTCCCTGTGTATTGTAGTGGGGCAGATATTGCTTCATCCCAAGGCGTGCTGTTTCACAAAATTCTAGAATTCTTTTATTCTGAGTTAAGATATGTTCTAAGCCATCAGTTCCCATGGATGAGGGCATTGCAGAGTTAAGGAAAGCCACTAAGTAGAAAATATCTTCCTCTGGAAGAACAGCAGAAGTTCTGTTGTCCCATCTGAAATCAGAATCAGTAAGTCAATCAGTCAACAAAACTTGGAGAAATCACAAAATTGAAATTAATTCTTTTGTCAAACTGTTACTTTGATTTGTTAACTGGGTAGATAAGGATTGGACCATTGCTCGTGTCTGTTAGGATGTTGCCAAAGACTTCATCCGCAAAATCGTTTATTTTGGTTTTGGGGATAAGAAGATTGAGCCATGGATGCGGAACTTCCCACAAGCCCTTAGACCGTAGCTTGACCTCAGACACATGAACTCTATCCAAGAATTCCAAGTATGAAACTTCTGTTAGGAAAAGCGTTGATGCCATGTATCTTAGTTGAGACAACAAATTCCCAACTTCCTGCTTGAGAAAAAATGGATTTGTGAGTAAATGCCATATTATTAATTAGTTTATGATTTCCTAATTAGTTTACTGATATATGAAAACCAGAAGATAATGGACCATGTGCCTCACCTCATTTAGTGCATCTATCCTGTCTCGGTTGAAGTATTTGGCCAATTCTAAGCAGTATAGAGTTCTTCCATCCGATTGAAACTGGCTAGCTTGAACTGGGTCTTGAGGATCGAAAGATGATCTCCAGTTGTTCAGGAGAGAAGTCCTGTTAATTATCACAAATCCTTCAATGTAGTCGAATGTGCTTTCTGCACCTATTAAACGCTCTTGGTCTGTGGCAAATGTCGTAAAGTCCGAGTAGAGAACTCTAATCCATTTCACCTATTCAAAATATGAAATTGTGCTGTGAGAATCGAAACTTACTGCTAGAGGCATTATTTCATTATCTTGCTTTGATTTAGTAAAACTTCTACGTGGACCTAATGGCTATAATTTTACCTTATCAGGTGCTGGTTCCAAGGATATTCTTGCCCGTGTTATGATGCCAAACTGACCAAGCCCTCCAAGAACGCCGTGAAATAGGTCACTATTCTGCTTCTCCGAGCAATTTAATACTTCTCCCTTTCCTGCACGGAGTTTCAGTTATTTTACAGAAGGATTTGTGAGATGCACATGATATTTTTTTCATGCTATGTTTGCATATTTGTGTGTGCTCGTACACTCTAATTTTTGTACTTGAACATGAAATTATTGGCAGTGGTCGAAATATCTTTTGTGGAAGCAAGGTCTAGCACAGCATGCATAGCAAGGACAATGTCATGAAATACTTCACTTGACCCTGGTCCCATTTGCCTAGATGCAAATTATCCATGTGTGTTGCCTACTGTGTTTTTGTTTTTTCTCCCTTCTTTTTTGAAGACAAAAGAAAAATCTTTTCTTCGCTGTTTTACTAATTTTACTCAAACGAACCTGTAACAACTTCCAGCTGATTGACATTACTGATCTGAGGGCCATGCCGAAACGCCTGCCCACTAACCCCAGCATTAGACAAGGTACCGCCTACAGTTAAATGTAAGTAGTCTGTCCATGATTTTGGTGCTAACCCATACTTGAGGCATTCACGCAGGATATCTATCCACAACTCACCGCCAGAGGCATCCACATATGGATAGTTTCCACTGTAAACATGCATTTTATGAACTTGGAGTGATTCCATATTGATTACAACTCCTTGGTGGGCTTGTGCCTGACCCTGGAGTGAGTGGCTGTGGCCTCTAGCTGCAACTGTCAGCTCTGAATCAGGACCCATCTGCCAAATATGCCTTATAGTAGTGGCAATATCAGAAACTGACTTTGGATATAGTACTGCCAAAGGGAGTAGCTGAAACCTATTGCCGAAGTCTTTGGCTGCGTGGTGAACTTCATCAAAGCTGAAATGCCCGTCAACGGAGAGGGTTCTCAGCGAAGAAGGGTTGCTGGAAAAACAAAGGTTTATTGTTATGGTCATGCAGCTCAGGAACAGAACCAAGAAGCTTCTTACGAAAAGCATATTGGTTTGCTTGAGGATACTCACAGGTGGATATCTCATTTATTTTTTCAGTTGGAAAGTTGAGGAAAGAAAGGTGATTAAGCTGGTTTTCTTTCACGTTTGTATGCAAAAAGAGTAAAAGAAGTGGTATGGAGGAGCCAAGGGCTGGGGGGAGAATTTAAAGGTGAAGATTTTGGGTGGCTGAGTCAACCAATATTCAGTTTTAAGAATCCGTATGAAGACTGCCTACTTGTTATGACTTTCTTTTGGTTCTCCTTTTTGTGCTCTTTCATTTATTAACAGAAGCCATCAAACACAGATGCCAAGATGAAGAGAAAAGCGCACAGGAAAGAAAGATTTCACAAATCTTTGCACCTTTTCCCAACAGTTGCAACCACAATCTCACCTTTTCCACCAAAGACAAACATGCCTCGAAATTTATCTCTCTTACCATGTTAAATAAAACTTTGTCTATATTTAGAAAAACGAGATGCTCAATGGCTTCGCCGGTTTGTGTATCCCTCCGCCTCTTATGACAGGGATGCCATACATTTGTCTCCCGTACATGAATTATTATAGATTATGTTTTTCTCATATCTATGGCTGTCGGAATGTAAGCATCGCGTATCTGCTTTGAGATCAGATGAGAGGCACTATGGGGCCTCCCTTTGATTTATTTGAAAGGGAGGGATGATCAGGTGGGGTTTTTTATGGGTCCATAAGACACGTGAAGTGCTAATCCATGTGTGCCAGTGTGAAGATGTAAGAAGAAGAATACTGTAGATGGGGATGACAGCTTGAGGGAAAGCACTGAAAGACTCCTCTGCTATCTCTCTATTGTTTGTTGTTTTGAAGCCTTAGTTCCCAGCAAAGTGACAAGTCTGAAGGATTCTTTTGGTTATTTGTTTGCAAGTGCAATTAAATTACAGTAGTTCAATTATTGCCTTTTTCACTTTTTTGCAAACAAGTTGCATAACAGCACCTAGTTAGAGATTTGCACTTCCAGAGGGAAGCATCTTTCACTTCTCTTAAAAGCCTGTTTGTCTTTGCCGCTACGTTATGCTTTTCAAAAAAATTATTTAGTCTTTTGTTTTAAAATATTTTTTGTTTTTTATATTGTTTTGATGTATTGATGTAATATATTTTTAAACAAAAAACATTTTAGAAAATAACTACGTGTTATCAAACACTAACTTGATACGGGTACTGAACTTGCTGTGTCTGTAGTTCCGTGCTGCTGAAAAGTGGAGGCCGGGTAAGCACTTGTGTGAAAGGAAAAACAGCACTCAGATTTGAGCAGTGGACTATGTTTTTCAAGCTGGTTTGGACTGCCTAGGGTAATCAACTCATGAAAACTGAAAGGAATCAGCATCTTGATAATTGCAACCCTGGATTTGAATACAATCTCTGTGTGCTTGTGCTTAGAACAATGTGCTCTGGAAGTGCCAGCTTAAGGGCATCAGTCCTTGTATTTGATCACATTCTTCTAGCTTGAGATTAACCAATTATTAGCTTACTATGCCCTGTACACACACTCCAAACCAATTCTTGGCGTCCATGGCACCATCCAATCAGGAAATTTTTTATGCTTACACAAATCCAACGAGTGTAATAATTTTCCATCATTCAATTTTAACATACACAAACTATTAACATTTTTGTGCCTGTATAGTGAATAATTTAGTGCACATCAGCCATAGTTATAAAATCTAGTATAGTTTATAAGATTAACTCGGATTATTTTAGGGTTTTTTTTGAAAAAAAAGACGGATACACTAGCATATACGAGTTTTTTATTGGTAAAGCGTGCATTTACGTGCATGCATACAATGTATTTGTATATGTATTCTGGAATGGTGGAGTTAGTACTTTTTACTGCTAGAAGTTGTTTAGGTAAAGTGAACAGACCTTAAGTTCAAACTTTAATAGGAAGAAAATGACATGACACAACGATACGAGAAGGAAAACAACATGAAAAAGACTGCATTGACAAATCGAACTACTGACTCGCCTTCAACTTCAGCTTCCTTGAGGTGGATTTTGACAACATCTTCGAATAAAACAATAAGCATTGTCTCTAACTTAGGAGTGCTCCAAGTTTATTTATTTTTTTTAAATTGTAAATTAATTTTTTTATAATTTTAAATTGTTTTGACATGTTCATGTTAAAAATAAATTTTTTAAAATAAAAAATATTATTTTTATATATTTTTAAATAAAAAATATTATAAAAAACAACCATTTTATACCATTCAAAAATATGCTATGGGACAAGTCTTCTCTTGAGGGATTACAATAATGCGATGTCTTTATTTTTTTTTGGAGTAGAAATTGCACTCGAACACGTACCTCTAGTTGTGGACACACACACACACATAAATATATATATATATATATGGTGTGAAAGTATAGCCAGTGTGAATGTGTTGTGTGACATGTATTGTTCTTTTTATAATCTGTGGTGAAAGACCTAATCTTTGATTACATGGAATAAATACTCTAGAAGGAGACCGAGCATTAATAAAGAAAACAAAGCATAAATAACAGAGGTTAATAATAATGATTACACGAGCCACCTCGAAGGCCATAAACACGTATCAAGGGGCCTTCATGTCCATTGATGCTTCGTTTTTGCAGAGCAAGAACCTCTTTACAAGTCAAGAATTGTTGAATTTCACTCGTAACACTTGCCATCCAAGAATCAAGAGGACGGCTAGAGTGGCTCCCACGTCACTTTCTAAGATCATGCTAATGTAAAATCACTAATCACATCACCAAGCATGCCACGTCACTATAGCTAAGCGATTTGGTTGGCTCGACGAGGGACTAATGATAACTCGACATGTGGGGGAATCGCCACTAGGCCGGACGTGATGGGTGGATTACCACCTTAGGGTTCACCTTATCCTTATGATAATACAAATCATGCCAAATGAGACTCAAGAAAAGCATTTCATCGGAGGGGATGGTAGGGCACGGATTTCGTATAAAACTAAGAGGTTATAAATTAATCATACTTATCATGTTTTTCTTCGAGATTTTATTCCACTTTAATCAATGTTTCCCTGTCTCTCCTCTCATCATATGAGGTTACCATTTAAAAAACTGTGATCTCTTGTTTTGTCGTTTATGGCCTTCAGCACTTTCAACCTAGCTAATCAATTTGCATTAGCTAGCTAGCTAGCTAGCTAGCTAGGTTAAAAACTATGATTAGAAACCAAAAAAAATAAATCTATCCACAAGGTAAAAGCCAAAACTCAAGAAATATGTTTTGTTTCCTTTTTCCTTCAGATCTATACGATATATCCATGAATGACAAGCTTACTGACTATCGATCTGACTACTAGATTCCCAGACGTAACATTGTTGTTTATGTGTGTAGACATTGCATGTTTCATGCATGATCACCTTCAGAATGACTTGCCACTGTGTTTGGCAAATCGTCTATAATATAGGATCTTGATTAAAGTTTTTTGGCATACATAAATGTGGTTGGCATATGATATGCTTGGCATCATGATTTATTAATGTCGACCAGATAAATATCATCTCAAAACAAATTAAATTAAATGAGTGGTTTATATATATATATATATATATATGTATATATATTTGTATTATACACACACATTACTCTTTAATTTGATTTTAAATAATAGATAATACTTGGGTAATGAATACCCATATCAATACAAGAAATCAATGTACAATATGAATATTTAGATTTTTTATAGTAAAAATTTTATCTATATATTGTAATTTAATCTAAACTTGATGAATATCGATTTAAACAAAATGAGTTATTTTTTTATAAAATTTCTTTATCTAATAAATATAGATAGAATATAAATATTATCAATATCTTTCTAATTAAAGTCCTATCCCAACCATAAATTGGGATATCAACATATATATATATATATATATAATAAGTAAATACTCCGATACTAGATAGTCAAAACTATATTAACATCCAAGTTTCTTACTCGTTCTATAGATATGGTGTCGCTATAACAGAAACTCAGATATCCATTGCCATCTACAAATACAATGGCCGAGAGATATCCTAATTGTTAAAACTAAAAGTAATTAAATTGGAACTTTATCTCTGTACAGGTTGAGCTTCTACGAATATCTTACTAGGTGATGCAGGTTTAAAGGAAACAAATTAAGACAAAAAATGAAGTATCATGCCAACATGTTTCCGGGGCATAACAAATTAACTTTTGTGGTATATACAAAAAGAAAAGGTAAAACCCATCAATGAAGAAACCTAAGTAACACCTTTTAACATGATGATCAATGTTCTGTGTATCAATCTTTGCAACTCCTTTTCTTATCTATATTTAATTTCTTAGTATTATTTTAGTGTATTTCTTTCTCTCAAAAGTTAGGCAAAGTTCATTATAGTAAGGCTTTTTGGTTTGTACAAGTGAAGAGATGAACTGTCCAGCATAAGAAGAAAACATAGACTTACTCAGCCTGTTGATTTTTAATTTGCTAGGCCAACTTTTCCCTTCATTTTGCTTTAATTTGTTCACAAGCAATGATGCTCATTAAAATAAAATAAAATATGAAGACAGCTAGCTAGGGTTCTATGTATGCCTTTCGTGTCTAGATTTCCTTTTGACGGGTGTGCATGTGTGTGTGTGCGTGTATAGCTTTATGCTAACATATTATAGAGAGAAATTAAAAGTAAAAACTTGCTTATGCCCTGCGGGGTGTGTCTATCATTTCACTCACCTTTTGTGATAATAAATTGGATTTTTCTTCTCTAGCCTAATTATAAATTAAAAGTAGATTCATAATTAATGTCGTAAGAGAATCAAAGCAATTATACTCGGGGATCTATGAAGGGTGCTTTTTTATTTGGCAGATAAAATAAGAGTACTTTAAAAAGTACATAAATAATGTTTTGTTAGTGTTTCAGGTTCATAAAGATGAAAATAATAGGGACAAATATGATTTGATTTTTTATATTTTTTGTTTTGAAAATTTAAAATCTCATTTTAAAACTGTTACAAGAACATATAATATATTTTTTTAAGTCTTTATCTTCATCTCTTTTCTATTATCCTTATTTCTTTTATTAATAAACAGTCACCAAACATAGTATAATAAGCTTTTTATTTTTATTTTTTTTAGATTAACGTGAGTGTTCAGGCTAACTTGCGCGCATCACGATTAATCCCACGGGCCTTGAAGTTAATGACCATGTAAGCCTCCAGTGACTATCATATGAGCAACCAAGAACTCGAACATGAGACCACAGAGAGATCAAACCCCTTAGTCCTAAGTTATTACCACTTGGTCACCATCTAAATGGTTGACTCTTTATTGATATTAGGTGTGTTTGTGGATATCAACGAGTTGAGTTTGAGCGCGTAAGTATATCTAACTTAATTTTTAATATCTTATAAATTATAAACTCGATCCATTCATTTTTTTTTATCTGAGTTACTTGGATATATTGGGTTAAGATAGATTTTTTATGGATATTACATATATCAATGTGTTGGGCGTCACACATGTGGAGCGTTGTGACGATCGTCCATCTTAAAAAAATTATATGTAATAGATAGATGTATAGTCTATTATGGTAAAATATGGAGAGACAAGAAATTCTTGTCTCTTATCAGTGAAAAATTAA